TGCTTCCCTGAGATATATGGTGTGCTCATTAATGTGTTCTGGGCCATTGTTTACCTGCAGCCACTTGGGAGCTATCACTGCCAATTAATTCGTTTAAACGTGTCAATTGGCCGTAATTGTCTAAGCGGAGATAAGTATACTATGAGGAAATTAAAATTTTATGTGTTTTCAAAAGTTCGTTCTGAGCTGTTTGTGGGCCTTCAATCTTCAGCTAAACAGTCGGACTGGTTATCCCATATGACTTATCGAATCATATGAGATGGTCGTAGGTGTCTGAATGTCAAATTGGGTGGAGTGTCATCAAGCTGGACTGACAAACTTTCCTCTATGACAAATCTCCGTTTTCAAAAGTCGTCTCGTTTTGCTTGCGCTTCCTGTTCCGCTTCAGCTTTCTAGCAACATTCCAGGACTTGATCTCGAAAAGAGATACACACTCTCTCATGACCTTGTGGAGCAGCTTCTTTCTGCTTCCTTATTCTGTCGCAGTCGACCTACTCCTACAAGTAACTCGTAAGATACCTACGGCAGCTACTAGATGCGAGGCTGGAAGCTTACTGACCTAAATATACCAGAAGACCACCAATATCTTAAAGTACCAGCTCGACAATAACCTACCAGCCTGGCAAGTTGGCAAACGGCAACAGGCCAGCCACAGCAGGACGACAGGTGAACATTGGGCGCCCGAGTAGATTCATACAGCCTCCTACCAGCAAAGGTCCCCCCAGATTCGCAGGCGCCTATCTGTTCACACACGAAGTTCAGCCAATCGCGTTTGGGAACGACAACATCTATAGTGTAACCATCGTTCATCCATTCCAGGATCATGGTGATCCTTTTTACAACGATGTGAGGCTTGAGGCAGAGGTTGCTGTGACAAAGCTCTTTGATGGGAAACTCGACAAAGACTCATTTGACTTGGTAAAGAAGGAGATCTTCGAGAACCTATCATCGGTGGTGATACTTAATCGGTAGCAACTCCCAAGCCAAGCCTTTCTGGTTGATATGGAAAAATAGACAGGCTAACGCCTTATAGAACACTCAACGTCTTCCACTCTACCACAAGCATGAGCACTTGGAAGCAGGATAATGAGAAGAAAGGTCTCAGTCACGCCACACTAGCAATAATCAAGTACTCTGATACCAATCCTTGAGAGATCACGGTATTGAATGCTCATATCTATGCGGATGAAATGCTCGACGGTAATGTCATCATCGAGGACCTCCCTCTTGATCCAGGTAGTACTTTGATCAAGCAAGTCAGGACAGCTCTGTTCGCTGTAGGCCAGGACGTGGCGAAGCTTCCCCAGTCGCTCTAGTATGCCGACTCGATGGGAAAACCACTCCCGCCTCCGACGAGATGCCAGATGCCCAGGGATTGATGTTTCCCAGGTGATGCAAGAAAGACGAGGCGCTTGAGGCATTGATAAGTCGAAGAGAGTGTATATTATAGATAAGGAACAGAATTGATCTTCAAGACATCATAAATCCTCCGTCTCTTAGCGGATCTATCGTGTTGGCGGTAGGAGCTAAATAAGGTGACTTATGACAAGACGTGGCTGCTTTAGTCAAATCTCCAATAGTCACTCCTTCCTTTATCCAAACCTTACTCAGCCACGTACCAAAGCTTCTGGACAGCGTCACACCAAACACCAAACACCAAACAAAGCCAATCCATCACAGTCCCAAACTTCTTATACAATAAAGCAGAATTCACATCACTGGAGCGACTTCAACCATACAAGAAAACGCGAGAACCTTCGTACACTCTTGTGCTCAGTGCACCTTCCGCCCAGCCCCCCCCCTCGACTCAGTCTACAATTGAATTATTGCCTACTCGAACCGCTGCTTGGTGTGTCACGAACACGGTTCTACGGCGTTAGGGTGCTCCTGATACAGTCTGCAGTCTTTCCTATTCAGTCGGAGGAGAGACCTCAGTCTCCTGCAGGCGCAGTCTTTGCGGCTCCGTCTTCGGGACTCGTTCCCCCACAGGCGCCGTCCCTACGACCGACGACCTACGATCCAATCTTTCAGGTACGGCTAGTTGCTTCACAAGCACGCTCCGTTCGACTCTGCCAGCCAGCAAGCGTAGACGCCTCTCCCCAGTCTCCTCGATACATAATTTTTCCACGGCAGATTATGATAAAACGTATCTTCCCGATCTTCCTTCTTTCCGAGTCAAACCCGACTACATCCGATACTGCTGTTTACTCCATCACAACCTAGAATATATGTCAGCAAAGCATTCTCACTCCGAGTCTCCCGTTATTATATCTGCAGGCCTCGACGTCACCGATCATGGGCCCAACCCTCCCCACATTATACCACTCCGACACCAAGAGCATCTACTTTACAGATGATAACCTAGTCTACTATATACTACCTTATGGAGAAGACGGCTACTGTGTCATTCGAGAAGGAGATATACTAGACGGTCGCTACTTAAGCCTCTTCGTACTAGGCTATGGTAGGGATGGGCAGATATCGTTGTGCCGTGATATCCACAAAAGATATGAAACCACACTTCTAGATCAATCTTTACCTTACAGTCTACACAGATCTTCCGATTCAGCTACCTCATATATGGCTATCAAGATTGTAAGGCCACAAGAGCCAGCCACAGACCATCTACATATGGAAGGCCTGCTGTCGCATCTACCGAGGTCGATATTCCACATATCTAGAATGGACAGGATCACCCAAATCCAGAGAACTTTTGACCTTATGGCAAGAGATAAGACTCACAGATGCTTCGTTATGGAGGTCCTAGGACCTTCATTAAGCGAATATATACAGTCGCAGGATTACCAGCTTGGAGATACCCCAAGCATCGCGTTCGATTGTTTCTGTGCTGTCGGAGCACTCCATACCTTAGGAATTTGTCATGACGACATCGACATCAGCAACTTCGCTATAGAGCCTCCATCATGGGAGAGTCGACAACTTAGCGACGAGTACATCCACGAGAGATTTGGATACCCCCAAATGAGGAAGAAGCGCGTCATCCTAGAGAAGGGCAAAGCGCTGCCTCCTGGGGTACCACTTTGGATATATCCCCCGGTATCGCTCAAGATCTATAACGGAGACGAACCAGTCATGGATCCCCCCATGGTCAAGCTGCTCGACTTTGGGAGTGCCTCCTTTGTGAATCAACAAGCACACAAAACTAAATATCATACCAGGGCAGCTGCGCCAGAGACGTTACAGACGCAGGAGACTACATGCAAGACCGACATGTGGTCGCTGGGAGTGATCCTTTGCTTCCTTCTTACTCGAGACTACATTATGGATATCTTCTCCAAAACTAAAAGGTTAGACAGACAAGGGGCTATGCTGGGACAAACTGGAATGGAACATTTCCTATCACTGACGACTGTGGAAAGAAAACAGGCGGTGAGCGAGAGACTCTTGGAACTTTACCCAGGTATGGAAGGATATGTCTTCGCTGCAACGGATCTGTTGATTCAGCTGCTTCAGCCAGAGCCATGTCTACGACCAGAAGCCTACACTGTCGTAAATAGTCATCCTTTCTTTCAGCCGCTACACATGATGGGTGTCAGCGACACGGCCATCTTATCTCAGTCACCACCTCTGGTTTCCACTCAGCAGCAATTCAGCTGTCCTCTAGAGAGAGACCTGTCGCCACAGGACGAACCCCAATCTGCCGAAACTCAAGCTACACGAAGATTAACCATGTAGGCTAGAAGAAACTCCACGATAGAGCCCATTAGAGACGGCTAGAGAATAGATGCTTGGTCGGTGAAACCCATTTCTAATATATTGAAAATCTAGACTGGTGATCAAATACTACCCAGAATCTCAAGGTTAAGTAAAGGCTAAGTAGAATAAGCTATACTCATATAATGAGTATAAGTTAAGAACAAGACTCTTTAAAATGCCTATAGCAAAAGCTCTTGAATCATATCTTGATAATGTTGTGATCATCGTTAGAGTCATCCTTATCATCAAAGTGAAGATTGAGGTCCAAAACATCACTCTGCACAGTCTTATGCCTGTTGACGACACTATCAATAGGATTGTCATGGCATTCTAAACCGAAGAAATAGAGTTCTAGACAGTCATTCGGCTTGCGATTGATTCGTCCTATAAGCTAGTCCTCCATATCTATTATAACCAGCTCAACAATCTACAAATAACTGGCTCAAGTAAGAGAAATCCTAATAACTATAATCAGCATAATGCTTGAAAGAAGCACCGGATCATCATCGTCATCCTACGGGTCAGGCTCGAAGAGCAGACGTCGGAATGGTTTATAAAGACTGTATCGTTGATAGATAGGAGTGTCGACGCTCATAACCGCTATCTTAAGACCCAGCAGAGCGTACTCAAGCGCTAGCCAGACAACGTATCTCCAGGTGTAGTGGCATCGTTTTCAGGTCCCTAGGCTTCGATTTTCAGGTGACCCCGCACTCACAACAAGGGAGTATCGGGCGCAGTGACCATGTCACTCGTCCTCAGCCTGCAAATGGGCTGATTAGGAGTTTAGCAGCAGATAAGGAGGTCCTGCAGACGGTCTAAAGGCTTCCAAGGTTGTCTAGCGCCAACAAGGCGACACTTTGCCTAGAAGAGCGAATTAGCAGTTTACCAATCGACCCAGCAAGAAAACGATGTTAGTAAAAGATTTGTTAGAGATAGCAGTCTTTTTGTTGGACCAACCCGAAACAATTCGTACCAGCCTTCGAGATATGGGACTGGGCTGGCCGCTTATCACAGCAGATGGCCCGGGATTCGCTTTGATAAGCCGTCTGAGTCCACTGACGAAAAGATCGGTCGAACAATGTGGGCAGATCAAGCAAGGCGAAAGACGGCCCAGCAGAGCATTTCTCAAGCCTTTGTATAAGAAGAGCCTAGAAGACCATTCACGAAGGCTCCTATTCATTCCCTACTCAATAAGGCCTCCCAGTTGAAGCTCTTTCCGAATACATTTGCATCTTTTTGACACCATGGTGTCCGCCAAAGCTGCGTCCGTGGCTTCTGGTCCAATGCATGACAACAACAGCCCTTACAAGATCAAGGATGGCGAAACACACTTCGGCTCGGCCGAAGACACCGCTGCTGTAACAGGGTTTGTTCTCGATCACAAGGCTGAGCGTGCTCTATGCCGTAAACTGGACATTCGACTTTTGCCTGTATTGGCTATCATGTTTCTTCTGAACGGTTTAGACAAAGGCAATCTCGGAAATGCCAAAACCGCCGGCATGGATCAGGATCTTCACTTCAAGTCCAACCAGTACAATTTAGCTCTGTCTATCTTTTATATCCCCTTCGTACTAACTGCACCGCCTTTGGTATGAACCCCCTCATTAGACTACAGGTTGCGCGTTGTCGGCTTTCTGACAACCACGATCTAGGGGATTGTTGGGAAGAAGTACGGCCCCTCTCGAGTTCTACCCATCATGATGCTCGTCTTTGGAACAATGACCGTTCTCGCTGGTACGATCACGATTATTTACAGTCTTGAAACGAGAATTCTGATAACCCTACAGTCACTGCTCAAAACTGGGCCGGTATAATGGCTCTCCGCTGGTTCCTCGGTAGGTGTTGTTCGCCCAGCTATAGGAGAAATCCGTCTAACAATTGTTAGGAATGGCTGAATCCGCTTTTCTGCCTTTGATAATATATTACTTGACTACTTTTTATCGCCGAGGAGAGCTTGCACGCCGCATGTCTGTCTTCTACGCTTCTAGCAATATTGCGAATGCCTTTTCTGGCCTGCTAGCCTACGGTGTATTCCAGATCAAACACACTTCTCTTTACCCGTGGCGGTATCTATTCCTTATCGAAGGCTGCCTTACCGTGGTCTTCGCTGTCTTCGCATGGTTCTATCTGCCGCTTAATCCGGAGAGAGCTGGATTCTTGAACGAACAAGAGAAGAAGCTAGCTTATCACCGAATCCAAGTCGACTCTTCCGCCGTCGTCAACCAAGCATTCAATCTCCGCGACTCCTTGAAAATCTTCCGCCAGCCTACTACATACGCCTTTCTCTCCATCGAGGTGTGTCTCGGCGTTCCGCTTCAATCGGTTGCGCTCTTCCTCCCGCAGATCGTCGGCCGTCTTGGATATTCGACCATCAAGACAAACCTCTATACCGTCGCGCCTAACATTACAGGAGCGGTAATGCTCCTTATCCTGTCTTTCTCCTCAGACTTCACAAGACGCCGAGGTCCGTTCATCGTATTAGCTTTCATGTTTACTCTCATTGGCTTTATCATCTACGCCACCATCGATGTTCTTGAGAATCTCAAGGTCGCATACTTCGCAACTTTCATGATGTGTTGGGGTGCCGGAGCACCCTCGATACTTCTCTGCACCTGGTACAATAACAACATCCCGCATGAAGGCCGTCGGATGGCCCTGACATCAATCGGAGTGCCGATGGCGAACTTGATGGGGCTTGTCTCCAGCAATATCTTCACGCCTCAGTCGGCACCGAAGTACATTCCTGCTCTGGCCACGACAGCTGCTTTTGGCGCGACTGGACTTGTGTTGGCAGGCTGCTTGAGCCTGTTCATGGTGCTAGACAACAAGCGAAGAGACAGAAAGCTTGGAAGAAAATTGGATATTCAGGAGACTCCAACGGAGCTTTTGATGGATGGCCCAAGTGTGCCAGAGTTCCGCTGGTTCTTGTGATAGCTAGGAATAAAACTGTAGCTAGATACCCTTGAGATACTGGAGACAAAAGAGTTCTCTGTGCTCAGAGGCTCCTTGTCTCGAATTATTGAATAATATAGAGGCACACATGAGCTGGATATTGAAAGCCAGCCGTTTCAGTGATACGAGAGTATCCCAGGAATGATTGATCTCAGGTTCTATTATGTTCAACAATTGATTGATTATCTTGATACCCTGGTGAATACACAAAGCTATCGAGCGGAGACATGTGTGGGATCATTGCCAATGGAGACGTGCCCTCAAGATTCTCGTATGGAAAGAAGTTCATCGCTGCAGTAAACGTCTGATCATCATCTGTCAAGTTGGACTGAGAAGCCCAGGCTGAAGCTTGCTGTGACTGAATTGATCTCGGGCTTTCATTCTGTATCGCCTGGGAAATCGCCTGGTCAATGCGCGCGAGACTCATGCGAAGCCGAAATGCTGCGTTGGTAGCAGACTCAATACAGTCTCCAAGGCTTTCTATGAAGTCGGCCATGGAAAGTCTATTCCTGTTAGCATAAAGCCTAAGCATATAACACAGATTAGAGGATCATTTACAATATTGTTCTTAGCTTCAAGTGCTCGGCAGGAGTTAGGTTACGACCGGTCACACTTGTTAACATGTGGCCGACACCAAAGACCTCTTGCATCTAAGACATCGAAATGCTCAGCCAAATGAGGTATACCTGATTCAAAGTCACTTAACACTCACCAATGGGGTCCCAAATGCGCGAACGTAGTCTCGAGGGACGGTACTCATGCTATCGACCAAGTCTTGAGCTGTCTGGCAGGCATCCCCGAAGTTTGTGTCCTCTGATGCAAATGCCACCATTTTAACCAGCTATGTCAATGCTCAGCCAAGTGTGTCAACGATAAATATAGTAAGAACTCACATGAATAGTACAGAGAATATTCGCAACTTGAAACCCACTTCTATTGCTCCCACTGTCAGAAGATTTCATTGCTGCTTGGGCGAATTGAGGCATGAGATTCGATTGCATGACAGACAATTGCTGGAGAATGGACTCGGTATTTGTTGGTGCTTTACTCCACAGCACAGTTGTCTGCGCTGTGCGCTTTGTGCGGAAGTCGTTGATGGCATGTTCAAGTATTCGATACAGCTCCGTCACGAAATTCCAGCCCGCAAACCAGTTCTCGAATTTCCCGTTTCTTCCGGGAAAAAGAGGTGTATGATGCACACCACAAGGATATCCTACAAGGGTCTGAGACTCTGGAATGCGGATCGGATGTCCAAGGACACATGCATTGTGAACCTCTAATCGGTACATGACCCAAAACACGCGTCGCCACGTCTCTTTCTCGCAAAGGCTCAACGAGGACGGCCACCGATCCTCGTTCTGAAACCCGATGCGCGCAGAAAGCCCATGATAGAGGCCGAGATACCGATGCAGCAAGTCCGTATCGCTTGTTTGTGTACCTATGAGAGCTAGAATACCGTACGATCTCAGGAGATTAATATCGCCGACTGTATCGTAGGTCAACGGCACGATGCGAATCGCTTCGGCTAGAAACTTCTCTGCGAGAGATTTTCCAGGCAGCCACGGGAGTTCGTTTGTGAAGAGAGCTCCCTTGTTGGCTTGATGGGCACTCAGAGCACACATAGTGATAAGGCCAAGATAGTATGATCGATCATGTGAGAATGACCGATTCCTCCACCAGAGCAAGAGCTCCGTCTCGCAGAAGAAAGGATATCTAGTCATGTCAGCCGCTGCGCAAAGAGCAATTTTCCCCCAGCACTTACAGCGGATATGTAGAGTCAAGATAAATATCCATTAAGGCCGTTATGTTCTGGCGGCTCTTGAAGGAGCCAGCCTCAGGTATCGAGAAGTCGCCCCGGATATGCGAGATCTCGGAACTGGGCGGTGCCGGCTTCTCGGAATCTTCTTGTTCATGATGTGTCGATAGACTAACGGAATTATTTTCTGTATATGATATGGCTGTCGATTCTGGTGTGTCATTTCTTGAAGATGCCCGAATGCTATGACCACAAGGATGGTCTCTTGGCTTCCCTCTAGCTGATTTCGGACGAGGCTTCGTGCCGCGTTTCTTGGGCTGTCTTAGACGCGTGCATAGTTGCCCGTACTTGATACATGTTAGACAGTCAGAAGTCCTATTGGGGCCCTCGATTGTGATCGGGCCAGGAGCTGGAGGCACGCATTTGAGCCCCCTTTTGTGGCAAAAATCACACGCCTGAGATATGCGTTGTCGTTTGATTTGCGGACTTGAACCAGCTTGTGGATCCATTCAGTCAAAGTCGGATGCGGGATGCCGAGGTCCGCCTGCTGAGACGCGTAGAGTGAAGCATGTCATGGAGAATGCATACGGTGGTTCACAGCGCCCTGCTCAGTCCAAGAGTTGAGGTTGCGAATTCGGCAAACGCAGCGCTTGTAGTCAGCTAAATAAGTGTCCACAGATAAGGCCCAATCAGTCCTAGAGAGATATCTACATTACATCTCCTATCTGCGGGCTTACAGCCTTGGAAAACTAGCGCCTTGTGGCTCTAGCGCGGGCTAGCTTCTAGGTAGAAATGCGCTATAATTTACAGTAAAATGCTCCACTGACACACCTAAAGGCGAAGACCGTTGTAGGCAATAGAGAAACAGTGACCAGTGTCCAAAGGCGCTTGTCATAAACGCTGAAACAAACTTTACACGTTGCTACCTATACTCCTGTATTCTATATCAACAATTTCCGCAAGTTTTCTTTCAGGACTGCATCGCCTTCATCCCAGCCTGGCTCCAGTTTGTCGCCAAAATCTGCACCGTAACGATTTGTCTCATCCATGAAGGAAACAGTAGCCAACATAGGGTAAGCTGTCGTTTGGAGACGGTTTTCCACTCCCTTCGCAGTGTCCTCTTCCCAAAGTCTTCGAGCTTCGTCAAAGAACGAATCAAAAGGCACGTCAACAATTTCCCAATCTCCTAACCCTATTTCTTTCATGGCATCAATGATATGGTTGGTCGACACACTATGGCTTGCGAAGTATGCAGGCCTGTTTCGAAATTTCTCCGGGTCTTCCAGTACAGCTACCAGAGCTTCGCCACAAAGCGCATGCCTGCTGATACTGACCTTTTGGTTTCCTGAACCAAAGCGAGTAATAGTTCGCTTCTCCTTATTGACCCAGAATATTCCTCTATCGATGGACCAGTCATACCAAGGGCCGGTAATAACTGCTGTCCATGACATTGTGCCATTGGAAGCCTCGATGATTTTCTCCAGCTCAGGTTTGGCGCGCATCTTTGGCTCAAATATCATAACCTCATCGATGTTGGGGTTGAAAAGATCACCACTGAAGTCCGGCGTAATGAGTCGTTCAACCCCGGCAGCAAGAGCAGCTTGGAGAAACAGCCCTTGATTACTTGTTGCCGCTGGATTGAATGCTTCAACGAGGACATGCTGATCCTGAAGGGCGGCGGTCAAGGACGAGACATCGGAATAGTCGACAGACTTGGTCGCGACTCCGGACGGCAAGCTAGATTTGCTACCAGGACGAGTGATACAGGTCACGTTAAACCGGGCTTTCAGAAGCGCTGGAATCAGAGCTTTACCGAGGTGACCACTAGCCTATAACGATATCGAATTAGTTGGATAGACAGCCTTGATAGAGGGGTTTGACGAATCAAACTTACTCCAAGAATAGCAACATTCTTGCAAGGTGACATCGTCAAGTGAGGGTAGTTAGTCAATTGTGAGTCTTTGACCAGAGAGCATGTTTCTATTCGACACCTTAGAAATTTACACCGATGATCTTGTTTATATAGAAGTGCCCATATCCTTCTATGGATAAGTGTAAACCTTTGCGTACAGGAAATGAATGTTTGGTAATCATCGTGGATTTTGTCAGAAAGGATTCCCTCGTAGCGCTATCTTGGAACGAACAGCCTCATACGGGGAGGGCATCCATCGGCCGCCCCCCTGGTCATTCTTGCGAACTGTCATTCGCTGCTTACCTTGAGACCCACCGTCTAATGCGTCGGCCGCCCCCCTGTCTATTGTGGGGCACGCGGTCTGTCAGGCGCATCGGTACGATTCATGAATCCACAGACGTTCTCCTAGTCTTCAGTAACATCTTGCACACAAACACATTTTTAAGCAGCCTCAATTGACATTTTTTGTCGGCCGATGCATGGATGGTAGAGAGATATGTCCCTGAGCATACAAGAAGATGACCACAACAATACAACTCGTGGAGAAAGCGTCCCATGTCTGCGCGAGATGCCGTAGTCGCAAACAGCGATGCGATCGAATGCTCCCCCGCTGCACAAGATGCGCGTCGTTAGTCTGACCCCTTGATTGTTGCTTCATGATAATTTGGATCTCTAACTGAAATCATTGTAATGACAGAAAGTTAAGAAAATGCGATTACACTTGGCATCTCGATGCCCCCAACCCTTCGCCCGTATCTCAAGAATCAGTCGCCCTTGTCGAACGCGGGAGTTGCGGCTTGGACTTGACACCCCAAGCCCAGCTTGAGCTTCTGCAATGTATCTCAGGGCGCTTGCCAAATGACTGCTCAGACTCTACTGTTCGATTTAGGAGGTTGGTCAATGATATACTGTTCGAAAGTGGGGCTACGGTCTCCGGCTTAATCGATAGCTACGTCGATACTCTTCACAAATGGTTCCATCTCATTGATGTCAAGCAACTCCGCGAAGACACCCAGTCTGCACCCGAGAAACATAAAAGGCCCGCAGTATTGGTGCTGCTATTAGTAATTATGCTAATAACAACGCAAACCTGTGGTCACGTCCATCACCTCCGTCACCGAAAATTATACAAAGCTTTGAAAATGGTTGTCACAACTCTTCAGTCTCAGACCGAGCCAGATCTGTGCCTCATTCAGGCCCAGACTCTCATTTCGCTTTATGAATGTGGCCATGGAATGACGCACCAGGCTCACTTGACGCTCAGTTCCGCTATGACCCTGGCCACCTTGGTCGCTACCAACACCAGCTCAATAGATAGCCCATTACACTGGCAAACAGCGCTCATGATGCTTGATAGGCGAGTAATCTGTATACCATAACATCAACATCGGTTAACCGAGTCAGTATGATTGTTCTGTCGGCGATCGACGACGCCTTGCCGATACTCTGTCAAACAGCTAGCCCGCTGAACAAGATGATAGCAAGTCAAGTGCAGTCATATACCAGCGATGGGTTCTTTTCGTTGGACTTGCATTCACAGAAACTTCAAATGACGGCTCAAGTGTTCCTGCTTGCTGGAAGATGTCTCCAGTACGTCTATTGCCTAAGGAATGGAGTTCCAGTGGACGAAAGCTACGCTTCTATCGACGGCGACATGGAAAAGATTGTCGAAGGCCTGATAAGAAACGAGAAGACCTACTCATGGATGTTTTGCGATTCTATCACTGTGGTTCTATGGTAAGCTATCGGCTTACTGATCCAGTAGCTATCAGAACGATTGTTATTGACCTTGTTTAAGCTGCCATCTCATCCTTCGTGAGGAACACATGCGTAACGTCAATGCCCTTTCTACTTCAAGGGAGCATTTGACCTTACAGGCGTCCCGCCGTATGGCTTGGGATACTTGCAGACTTTCGATCGAAACAATCAAACTAACAGAGATAACAAGGACCTCTTTTGTCAGCATGAATTCTACTTTCCGTGCTCTACTCTGTGTGATAGATGACCACACTGGCTCGTCAGAGCATGAGGAGACTGAACAGTTGTTGTCGAAGCTCCGTTTCTTTTGCCAAAGATGGGCTGTGGGAGGTAAATCACATGAGAGCCACAACCCTATGACTAGGCTAACTTGTCTAGATCGGTACTTAACGCGAATGGAGATGGCATTTTCTTGTGATGGCGATACGGCCGATCGCGACGAAATCAAAGCCTCAAGTAATGGGTCCAGTACAATGAGTATTGACACATAGAACCCAAACGACTGCAGAGAGGATCAGGCTGATCATTCGAGCTGCTTCAACTGAATGTCCTTTCTGTACAGTCTTGGAAAATATCGCTAAACCTACTATCAACAACAAACAAAGGGGTATTACTAGGTGCCGCAACGGTCTCTCCCACACTAGCCTCCTCTGCGTACATGCTCACTCACAAGTGCCTACCGGTGCTCCCGTGCTCGAATTCCTTGTTGGTGAACTCCCTTTCACCCTTGTTCGCAATTGCAGCGTTCTTCTCTTCACCTTCCTTGCTGCCAGCCAAACCATCTAGCGCAGCGTTGAAGTTGCCCCTGATTGTCTCGCCGATGCCCTATATTGTCACTTAGTATTAATAGACTGAAAGGAGCACGCCGCACCAAGTCGACTCACATGTCCCTGCGCAAAGACACCTCTGATCCCCTTGCCAATGCTAGCGCCCGTGTTACTGCCGTGTGCATCGCTGGGAGTGAAGTTGGCTTCTCCTGCAGGGGCGCCGTATGTCCCGGTCTCTGGCGTGCTCTTGGGGAAAGTCTTTGTCTCTTCTGTTCTGCCTAGACCTGCAGTTGCGCCACTATTCGGGGCACTGCCATACTCTCCGGTACCTCCGCTCGCAGGCGGAATGGCAGCGGAGCCGGTTGTACCTGCCGGTGCATTTGTGGTTCCTCCGGGGAGGATTGGGTCTCGATTGGATGCCATTTCGATCTGTTCTGGTGCTGCAAGATGGGGTATTGAATATTTATTGTAGGATTGAGATACGAGAGATATGTTTAATTTATATTGGTCTCTGGTTACTCAGAAACTTTCGAAAGTGGCCGGAGGAAGTCTTCGATTACACATAGGACTGGCGGGTGGCTACCTTGGTAAGTCGATCCCGCCGTGATGCTCGAATGATCCGCAAATCCCGTCCCTTGACGTCATGGGTATAACCAAAGCATCCACACAGCTAAGGTTGAGACGTCATTTGACAATTTTCCGTTCAATGCGACTGATATACAAGTAAAGCCAGTTCTCTTCACAACAACAAAGGCTCCGCTACTTCTTTGCCAAATTGGCCGTATTATGCAGGTAGGACTGCTATCTTAGTCCTCGGACTCTGTCTAGTGCCCAAGGCACATGAACTCTAGGCCCTAACAAACCCCCGCCCGCCTAAGCGCGATAACTATCCGTTTCATGGATGAATTTACCTTTAAGCCCGATGATTGATAGATAAAGTTGGCCAATTGAAGGTAGACTTTGCAGCCCTCTGATCGGATACGCGTAAATGTCACCGTGAAGCTTCGGTAGTTGTCAAGTAGATGTAAATGCGCGATCGCTTCTGTGCCTGAGCGGCGCAGGATCCATATGCCGTGTGGTAGTGGATTGAAGCAGAAACGATGGCCCAGTCATGGTGGACAGCAGTCACTACGGAGGCACTTCCGAGGGATCGTTCGCGATCCTGGCCCGTAAGCGGTAAGCGCAGCGAGGCGGAGCAAGCAGTACGCACGCACGCACACCCTTCAAAGTACAGTAGATAGACTACGGCACTCTTAAATATCTCAACGTCGCATGTCTTGTTTCTCGTATTGTGCTCTCTTACATCAACTAGACGAACGGGTTTAGGAATCTAGCACCTCACGGTGGCGGCTGTAATCGACGGTCGGCGTTCGAGAGCGGTTCGCATCACGATTAATGCAGCACTGCCGATGAGCCTGACATATTGGCACACCCAGACGATCGCTTGGGAATCTTCTGTATCCAATGCAGTGCTGCCGCCTGTTATTATGCCGGTCTATAAGAAACCCTCGTGCCAGATAATCCTAGGGCATCATTTCTCCACCTTAGCCAGCCGCTATCTTAGATGAACATGGTCACAGCGACTGCCCATCCTTAGGAACATGCCAACCAGGCCATTAATTCACCGACCAAAACCAACGACACCGGCTGAAGACATACAGTTACCGCTCAAAGCCGTAATGGTACTCCCTTCGAATCAACCAAGGCCTTGGACGGCTTATGGATCCGTACCACCCACAGGAACCAATCCTCCATCGCAAGCAGGTTGAGCAAAAAGCCGTTTGCGTGCCAGGCAGTGATGCACACGATGGCGCCGGCAACAGCATCCAGGACGAAGTGGTTGGCGGTCGCCACGATGGCGGACAGGATGATGGCGGGGTAGATCATGCCCCCGACGACCAAAGAAATGCGCTTCCAGGACAGACGACGAGGGGTCTCGATGGGGAGGGTCGCGACGGTCAATCCGATGAGAAACGAGTAACCGAAGTGCAGAGAGGGCATCGCAGCTACGTCAAGGGATCCTTGCGTCAGTAGGCGTGGGGGAAGTCAGGGGCCAGCAAGTGGCCTCGATGGGCTTGACTCACCGTATTGGTTGCAGAAGCGGTTGGTGGTCCAAACACTGCTCTCGCCGTCCTTGCTGTGCACGGTATCGACGAAGCCATAGGACAAGGCCTCCGGCGCATCGGGGCCCTCGTACGTGGGATCACCCAGCAGGCGGGGAGGCATGCACGGCCAGGCCGTGAAAATGATGAAGGCGAGCAGGTTGCACATGGCCATCGTTCGCCGCCGCCGCTCGTACATGTCAGGGTTCAGCCGACCGACAGTTCTATGCAGTCTCGTGGGCGATGCGCCCTTTGTCGAGGTCTTCTGGAGGTTCTTCCGGGGGCGAGTCGTGGAGATATAGTACATGACGATCAGGAAGAGGATCGTGCCGGGGATGTGGATGAACGAGTAGGTTCTGTTGGTCCAGTGCATGAGGTTTGGTCGCTCGAGGAACCAAGCCTGAACCGGAAGCTCGACAAAGAGATGAAGGCGTTGCTCGAGGTGGATCAGCTGCAGGGCGTGTCTGCGAGCGACGTTGACAGTGGTGTCGTCGAGGAACAGGGTGGTGAAAGCACGGCCAAGCTGGTAGACCTGGGTGGTGTCAGGACGACATTGATGCATACCGATCACCTACACGAGTACTCACCCAGTATATGAGCGCCCAATACCAAGCCTCGACCAGAAATGGGTAACGACGCAGGACGCGGCTGAGAAGGCGGTCTTTGAAGACCTCAGTGTTGGGCGATATCACAGTCTTTCTCCAGTTCAAAAAGCGTATCGTCCTTCGATGCCATCGCGGGTCCAATTCTTCGTCTCCTTGACTCAGCAACGTTCCTGATGAATTATTTGACGTCCAACCCCATGATCCCGGCGCCTTCACGTCCTCATCTCCCGAAGAACTACTACCGGCCTCAGCCTCCGATAGGTCTGTTGCGAATGACTTGCGACGGGAAGCAGAGGTCGACGATGACCGCCTAACCCGACCCCATGCACCGCTAGCTGTCGGCGAATTCCACGCAGTGTCACGATTAACAAGCGTACCTCCAGCGAGGAGGCTTATCACGACAAGTGGCTCGAGGAATGCGCCGAGGCCCATTATGAAAAGCCGATGCTGGTTGTCTAGATTGGTGCTCTACGGATGCTGCGGCAGCAAGGCTCACCGTCGGAGGACAGGTACCAGCCCGCGTTGAAACCCGTCTTACGACTCGAGGTTGGTTTCGGTGTTTATAGGAGAAGAAAAGCTGCCGTGGTATAAGGGAGGGTTCACAAAGGTACGGTACGTTAAACAAACCACAGGACGTGGAATCCAGGGAGACGGGAGAGTTGCCGGCAAGGCGGGCACAAGCTTATAAGCAACCTTGGGAGCCCTTTGTTGGCAATGAGGTCGAGTGTGTATGACCTACCAGGTATTTACTTCTTGTTACCTTACCTTACCTTACCATACCAAGCAAGGCCTTACCTCATTAAGTGAGGACGGAAGGGTAAAGAACGAGGACTGAGCACATGTGTAGTGTGCTGCCGCACTGCATCGGTGGCCCGTCGCCGCCATCTCGCGTGTCCGACGATTCCGGCGAAAACACCACCACCAGCCCACTCCCCTCAGTCACTCGCTACTGGCTCGCAACACACCAACCGGATATGGAATTGGACTAATCTAAACAATCGCATAATCATCAACTTCGAGAGGCTACCGCTCTAACTCTAAATTGGGTCGAATGTTCTCCAGTGGACTTTTGACGTACATGCTTGGTCGTGCTCGGGCGGTCTGGTTTGCCGCTTACACATTCCCAGTGGGACTTTGAAGTGCCTTATCTTCCCTTACCCTCAACTACCTAGCGCCGGCATCTCTGGCATCCAATGGTCTGCCATGCTGGGCAAGGACATTTGTACTACAGCAGTTCACATGCGTGGCAGATCCTCCTTGCGCCTGTTGAAGTGTTGGCCCGACTGTTGACGTGGTCGCCGAGGGCAGAGAGGGCTGTTGTAAGCCGCAATATCCGCCTCGCTGACCACGTTGTGGAGGCCGGAGCATTTTACACATCTAGCCAACAGAAGTCCGGTAGGCTGGGTTGGTGCATTCATTGTGAGAGAAAATGACTGATCCCGCGAGAGCGATGACTACCGTTTGCGAACACTCGCATACTCAACATCACACTGTGAGACCCCGACCGCCCGTTCATTGCGCTTATCGTCATCTTTTTCATGGCAGAATCAACAATCGACTGCACGTTGCTTCTTTTCATGGTCTTGCTCCCACCGTTTAAATGCGCCAAATGAAAGGATCCAGCCAGATGCGCCCCAGGACCAGGGCAGGATGGCAACCACGACCGTACCTTTGAAAGAAAAGATGGCAAAACAGCGGTGACTTGGTATGATACACCGTCAGACGCTCACTTACCGTAACAGGGCATGTAGCACGCGCAAATACAAAGTTGTGTTGATCGCTGCTCTTGCTCCTGCTTACAGGTTAGCAATGGCTCAGTGCAGCTGTGACACCACGCAAAGGCCTCTTCTCTTACCTCAAGGGGGTCGTTCCTTGGCATTCGAGGCTGCAACAGTGCGTGCCAGTGCATGCCAATGCTCACACGCCCATCAAAATCGTTGCGGCTTTCTCAATCTGCCCGCCCGGCCACTAATTACCGGAGGCGCGATGCGCGATGCCCACGGGCGATGCGGCCCCACAACCTCATGCATTTCTCGGAATGCTCGGATGCTGCTCGCACGCAAACAAAGACCGAGACTCAATAATTCCCAAGAAAATTCAGGACGGTAGGGGCAATGGAGATAGTGACGTTTCTGTGGAAGCACTGTGGCTCGAGCGTGGTTCGGGTTAATCTTGAAATACACAGTTTTCAGTGATCCACGCTGCCGTTGCAAGATCATTGCCTGTGGTGACGCGTTGAACGCCCCTTCCTTATTAGGGCTGAAAGCGGTAGGCAAACGGTCAAGCGACCGCTAATAATCTAGAAGGTGCCGAGGGACCGCATCTCTGACACCTCAGTAAGGTACTGTACTTCCAGCTACAGCTACAGCCCCGCCATTGGGAAGGTGGGGGGACCATCGCACCTGCATCTACGTAGACTTCTTGCAGGCCCGATTTGGCACGCGAGCAGACCGAGACCGAGCTCTTCTGGGCTTCTGGGGCGATCTGTCTGGGCGCACACGCTCTTTCTCTTTGTGTACTTTGCGGGGACTTGCCCGCTTGGATAAGATGCGGCTTGCCGGAGGCCGAATAAGTTATTCGACGGAGCTTCGATCCTGCCCGCGAGACCGACCGTCTATCTGGGCATGCCCACTTACACCCATAATAATGCCCAAATAGCGCCTTTCTCAAGTAGCTTCCTCCGCACTGCAACGGCTGATTTGACGAGTCTGAGGTCATCTTGGATCGCAAAAGTCGCATCCTGTCAGCTTGTTTGGTGAATGCGACATCTGTGAGTGGCCAGTTGCGAATCCCACCAGCTGGCCCGTCTTCAAGTGAACTTGGTGGGAGTCTGTTTGGCTAATAACGCATCTTTCGCATCTCCTATTCTACCTGGGTGTACATTTGTGTGGTCGCCGAAAGCAACTCACTTGCCCTGCATTACTACACGGAAATGAGTTTCAGTGTATGGCAGACTTTCAGACCACAAATCACACCAGTCGCCATCCTGCATCTCCGTCGTCAGGCGATTGGACTAGGGCTTGGCTTGGCAAACGGATCTTCAGCGTGGGCGAGGTAAGGTATATTTATGTAACGGATAAGCATACATTGCCGACCTCGAGACAGGGCTAACTCTGCATGCATCGGATGTCGAAGGTGATACATTCCAAGTCCTTAGCCCCGGCTGCCCGAAATTTCCGCCTCATGTTCACTCTTATTACAAAAGATGCGGTTCAAGGTTGCTCATAAGCTTCATGGAAATATATGAGTTCCCTAATATATCGTGCGTGCTAGTCGATCTCGCTTGATGCCTCTAAATCAATAGCATCTTCCATCTTCCATAATAACTTTTCACGAAGATAGCAACAAGTCGACCGAGAATAGCGTATATATGGGATAACGAGCCATTGTATATGCAACATGTATAACTACAGAAGTCGCACCTGTTCTCGAAACGCTACGCTCACGGCCGAGATTCTAGTTCGTTCTCAGGCCCGCTGTGGTCTTCCAATTCCCCCTTCTTCTCACTCCTAGCTTGTCGAGCAATTACGACCCGTAGCTGGCTAGCAAAGACTGCTGTGAGCAACATGGCCAGCCCAGAAAACAGCTGGATACCGAGATAGCTGCCTGTATTTCCGAGTATGGCGCCCGCGATGGGTGGGCCAATGAGCGATCCGATACCCTTCAAGACGGCAACGAAGCCAAGCCGTGTGCCCAATATGCTCAGATCGTCGGTAATACTTGCAAGGACCACCGGTGCCAAGGTGACGACACTTCCTGAGAAAAAGCCATAGAGCACCGAGAAGGCAATGTTCCCGGCGCGGTTCGTCACGCTAATCCAGTAAAATATGCTGACGGCAGCCATGGCGGATATGCAGATGTAGGTATTCAGCACACCAAACCGGTCCGCTGCGAGCGATGGTATGATGCGGCCGGGGATAGCAACCGCGTTTAATATGACAAGGAGATAACTTGCCAAGGTCTGCCCCTGCATACCATGTGATAGGGCATAGGTCTGCAAGTAGTACATGGGCTCGAAAAAGGCGACGTTACTGAAGAAGATGGCGATACATTGGATCATGTACCGCTTATCTGTGAGCCCAGCAGCTTTAGTCACCCCCTTAAATGACTGCATGCCTTTGGTGGTCTGTTTGGGCTTGCGGAGCGGCCGAGCTACCACGGTGGCGTAGCTGCCCATGGCCAAGACGATGAAACCGTTAATTCGAACGGTCCATGGAAACCCAATTTGCGGGTATAGCCTCTCGAACATGAGAGGGTACAGAGCAGCACCAAGACTGCTTCCAACGCCCGCCGTTCCCATAGCGAGAGCCCGTGATGTGGTAAAGTAGGGTGGGATCAAGGTAATGGCAGGCATGTAAAGACAGCTGGTTCCAATGCCAACGCAGAATCCCTGAGCCAGCAAAATCTGATAATATTGTGTGCTGATGCTCGTCATCATGAAACCAAAGGTGACGAGAAAGGTCCCAGCGAAGAGCATCGACCGCGTGTAGCCCATGTCATAGAGCGGACCAAGGAAAACACCTCCGGCCATGAGGAAGAATACCTGGACCGAACCAATCCAGGAGATCGCTGATGCGGTCTGGTCGCTGAGCAAATACTGTTCGTAGTAGGTCTGGAAGGCACCAAAGCCATTGAGCAGACCGCTAGACAGTCATAAGTATCATGAGGCATCATCAACTGGTGCAATCAGGGAATACATACAGGCTGTTCCAGTACAACGAGAAGGCGGCGGAGACTTGGAGCCAAGCCATCCATCCTCCATTGGGGGGTCGTGGTTTTCTTGCATTCTCTACTCCTGTAGATAAAACCCCTTCAGACAACTTCGTTTCTCGGATCTCAGAATTCGCAGCAGCTTGGCGAATTGATGACTCTTCGCTATTGGACGACGGTATAGGGCCCCGAGCTTCTAAAGTCATCTTCGGGGATGTGAAGTGCGTCACAAGAGCATGATACAGGCAGCTCTACGCGCGAATGTAGTCGCTTTTCATTGATACTCTTGACGACTGGACAACAACATGGCGATTGGAAGTATTTGGCTGTCGAAGGACGTTGTAGCAAAGTTTCTCCGCAATTTTGTTCGACTTTGGGGGATCCCAATACAATCTCCGAGCCGGATTGCCGCAACTGACAGCATCCCCACTACGACCTTCCCGCTTCGGGTAAAGAAGGGTAAATAATCCACTTGGGTGGTTATTTCCATCGTTTATAACCAGCAAACTAGGCAGGATGCGTCATCATGCCACTGAGCAAGCGACGACTTCGGAGTTTTTACGAGGCTAGCGAATTCTTGAGATGCTTTGTTTAGACTCAATAAAAGAGTTTGAAAAGTTGTTAAAGGTATTTCGCTTGAGAAAGAGTTAGTCAGTTCCTTCAACCTCAAGCAATTGTATGATAGCCATCGAGAATGAGCGGAACAAAAGAGGTTGAGAGCAGAATGTTGTTGTATTTATATTGACTTGTCAGAAATAGAATGGCCACTTCAAGTGACTCGAATGGGATGTCTTTTATAAAGAGATATGAAACATCAATTCTCTCCATCTATTGAACCTTGAATTGGGTTACCAATCCCACCGGACCCAGATCACAAAGCCTGCGAAGACGATCATGATTGCTTCTCCGTCTCATTGTGAGCAGTCTCAGGGACAGCCTTGTCAGAGTCCCGTCGCATGGCGCCAGTGGCCACTGCAGCTTCCTCAATATCCCGATTCTGCCACTCTGCATACTTGGCAGGCCGTCTCCGCGAGGTTGAGTCCTTATGACCCACAACAATTAGCGGCGGGTTGTCTCTGTAGAAGGCGTCCAAGTCCTCAAGAGTTCGGTCAGAAGTCTCAGGGTAGAAAAGATACAGGATCGGCATGAATGCGGCGTTAAGAACTGTGAAGATAATGTAAAACTTCCAGCCCAGATTCTTGCTGCCTGCAGGTGTGATTTCGACCACGATAAAGTTCGTTAACCAGTCCGTCGCGGTGGCGACAGCTGCACCCTTAGTTCGCATCGGCAGAGAGTTGATCTCAGTTGGATATAGCCAAGGGATGCCAAGCATGCCCAAACCGAAACCCATGTAGTAGATGAAGAAGAATACAACGGATGCTTTGGCCACCTCTTGCGAATGGGGATAGCCCGGCTTCTCATTGTAGTAGAGCAGTATGGTCATCATCAGGAAGCAGAAGAACTGGATGGCTGTAGAGACGATCATCATGATTCGACGTCCGAAGCGTTCTACCATTGGTGCAGCAATGCCCGATGCAAACAAGTATGCGACAGATGCACAAGCAGCGATTAGTCGAGCCATGCTATCCTCGAGTCCAACGGAGTTTATAAGAAGGGTAGGCAGGTAGTAGCTCATGATGTTGATACCTCCAAATTGCTGAAGAGCCTATTCAATGCGTCATCAGTGACTGTATGACAGGTGCAGATGATAGATACCTCTGAGAAGAACACAATAGAGTGAAGAGTAAGAGCGAAGACTAGCTTACCTGAGTGCCAGCACCGAGAAGAAGTCTGCGAATTGTCTTTGTGCCTTGCTGCGTCCGACCACGGAGAATATCTCTCCATCTGATCGCATTCTTCCTCTCATATTCCACGCTGTAAATGATTTCCTTTCTCTCAGCGATAATGAAAGGGTCGTTAATGGACTTGTTGTCGAGGTCAGCCAGAATTTGTGCTGCTTCTTTCTCACGGCCGTGGGCAATAAGCCATCTGGAGAGTGATTGTTAATCGACATGGCATTTGTACGAGTAATTTCTAAGAATTCTCGATGGTTGAACGCACCTAGGAGATTCTGGCAGCCATGGGACAGTGCCATATAAAACCATGCAGAAGACGAGCTGAAGTGCTAAGGGTAAACGCCACGCAATAGCACCACCAGCGAATGATAGGCCATAGTTGATCCAATTGACGCTCATAAAACCGAATATGTTCATCTGTTTTGTGTATATTTAGCAGATGGTTAGTTGAAATGGTGGAATCCCGCGAAGTATATGCATATGATTCCCCGACTTTGAACCATGTCACAGCGAGGAAGCCTGAAGTACAGTCGTATGAAATATCCACTAAGCCTTTGAGAGAAGTTACTCACCATCATCTCAAGAACCACAAGCTTTCCCCTCCACTTCATAGGCGACGTTTCCGTTTGCCATACAGGAGCAGTAGCAGTGTTAATGCCGTTTCCAATGCTGCAAAGTGTTAACCAGATTCTTAAGGTTAGGAAGACGATCAGAACTGCGCTAATCTCACTTGCTAACTTACCCACTGACGATACGCCCGACAATCATTTGAGCAACGCTGAACGAAGATGCTTGAAGAATAGCACCGATAGTCATGATTGTGGTACCAAAGATGATGCTCTTCTTGCGACCCATGCCCTCGCCTATGGAGAAGGCAACAATCGCACCTACTGTACAGCCAATAGCGTAGATTGACGTAACAATGGCACTTAGATCTGTCTTGTCGTCGCCTTCGAGATTATGGACTTTGAGATAATCATCAGAGATGACGACGCCACCTGCGATTCTGTGAGTAAAAGTTGCGAATGAAAAGATATCTCCAGACACTTACTGAAAACACCCTGGTCATAACCGAACAAAGACATGTCTGTAGCGCATGCAACCTTGGAAAAGAGCCTCGTTAGCATGCCATTTTGATTCTTCAACTCATGCGGAGGATTGTGACCACTTACAGTAATCCAGAACGTCAGCCATCCGCCCTTCAAGCCGAAATACGGCTGCTTGAATCTGGATAGTGCCATATTGATCGACACTCTTAGAAGACTTAGGGGTTTCTTGTTTTGCTGGATCTCATGGACCTGCGACCAAAGGCGTCAATAAGCACTAAATATACCCTGCCTCTTTCTGATCGACGTTTAAAGAAAGCTTTCGGCCACGTGCGATGGGACAATTGGCATTTATATACATGGAAACTCGACCTTCTGAAAGAATGACATCATACTGGTTGACACCGACTGTATAAAGTGTTATATTGATGTGGATCTATCTAGAACAGCACGAACAAGTCCGTCGTGGAGCCCCCTGGCGATAGTGATACGGCAACGAGCCTATCGTGGAGGTAGGCAACGAAGGCACACCAGCTAAAGAGCGTTCGGTGCCTCCTGGAAAGCTGATTGATACGTCCTTTTGCACTGCCAGTGGTCCCCGTGGGGATATTGACTCTAGAACCGCTGACAAGAGTATGCGGGACTGACTCGCGCCGAAAGTTGCGCCGATGTCACAGGAGATGGCTTCTTGCGGGCTTAAGACGGGATTACAGCTCTGTTTTCGTCTTTCCATTCTTTCGATCATTGGCGTACTTCTGAGCGTTATGGGTCGTGGAATGGGGCTCTGGGAACGTGGACCCGCCATGTCCAACTCTTAAGCCGTGAGTGCCATGACTATGACGCAGATCATCCCCACTGAGTGGAGGACGGTCTGTAAAATGTCGACGGCGCGATTCCTGCCTACGGGGTTCCTGAAAATTGATCTTCTCACTGGGGCTCCGAAATCCATTGGAATCGCACCAAGAAAGTCTTCGTAAAGGATGCGATCTGGGAGCCTGTTCGAATCGGTCGTCAAGATGCAGCAAGCTGCACTTGGTACTTAAGCTATCGTATACAGGGTAGCTATTGCTAACTCATGCTCAAGAAGTTGGTGGCGGCAGCTAGTTGCCGTTTAGTTAGGTGAAGAGTCTGATTCAGCCGCTAGCGACCATGTTGATTGCCAAGATGTGCCGGAGCGGGCGTTCGCCGGTAGGATTAGAGGATCGGCACCGGCTTGACTCGCTCGGGACGGACTCGAAGTCGGTCAAGCTCTCCCTCACATGGCAGAAAGCGAACATCGGTCGTTATATTGCCGCTTAACCGGCTAGCACATTATCGCGCCACCTGTAGCACTGGGTGTGCCTCGTTTTCTTGATATGGTGTCCAGAAGACCCGAACATCTGACGAAATTGTTGATTCCACTGATGTACCGATTCAAGGAGCCTAGGCCGAGGTAGGGATAATGACCCTTCTTACAGTACTCAGACCCTGTTCGACTCGAGATGCACTTCCAAGGGATAGCCGTGCTTGCTCAATTTCTCTTCGTGAATTGCCTTCTTCCTGGCCATGTTGTTATCTACCTTAGGCTTTCGAGTGTTTGTTCCGTGTTGCACCATATGATCTGTCCATGAATTGGTATCGTAGATGAATTGGTCTAGCATGCTATGGGTAGCTGGAACACGGTTGGCGACTGCTAATTGTTAGACAACAATAGCTCGTTCAAAGCATCATCTCTGCCATACCTGCGCACGAATCCATCACCGATTTGTGAAGTGGGTCATTCTGCTCACTCATAGTCGAGTAGAGAGTCTTGCTTCAGTATTGACTTGGTTTGATCTCTCAACACGCGATAGCAAATGATGCCATTCCATATTCTTTATCAGAGGAAACACAGCTAGCTTGTATATATATATATATATATATATATATATGCACGCCATAAGTCCATCCTTCTCGCTTCGCGCCCCTTCGTCTTGCCGTGTTTACGTTCATCACGACCTGGAGACATGATGATATATTCCATGAACTTGACATGCCGAACGACTGGCCACTGTAATCAGTCTGAAGGAATCCGGTAGCAAGGTTTGTTTGAGGATGGATGATTGGGTGTCGTGGGTAGCTAGTTTAATTGCGTTTAGCGCCACTTCAACATCGAGCAAGAACTGCGAATTGTCGAGGCATTGCCGCAGAAAATGGCGTCCAATACCATCTTTTTTCTACATACTTTCTACATACTTGCTTATTTAGGTAATGCGTTCCTGGGACTTTCCACGAACTGCACCCCAAAGAGCGCGTTGCGGCAGTGCAACTCAGCCTTAACCTGGTGCAGCTGGTAATTGCCTTAAAGTGCCCAGTCAGCCAATCAGCTGACGAATCTGGGGTACCATGCAGGAAAAACATCAATATTTGGCGTGCATGGGCTAAATTTGGAGTAAGGCGATTGCTGAATGAGCGCTAGGACCAGGAGCTTACTGAATCCCAGAGCCTCATGCTCAAACCAAAATCAACAAAACGACGGGGTAGCCCCAGATGTTTTGTCCTCTTTCTAATAATCTGATTCTAATTCTAGTTGTACGAGGACTGTGCCGACGAGCTAATTCAATAAGTTTAAAGCCCGTGATTCTGAAACCACACTTCCCTCCGGTTATAACAATAATCTCCATCGCCCTGTTTCCACCATTAGTTGGGGTATGTCCAAGGTCAATATTCACGGAGATTTCCAGGATTGCCGTAAGCCATCCACAGAGCGACAGGGTGAGCCCGTGAAGCGTATCGATACTGGAGTCAAGCAAACAGCTGTGCACGGTGTTACAAGCATCGTTTCTCGGCACGTATTCAAAGCAACAGACATCGCAACGAGATCGCCCGCTTCCTCTATCTGTACGGATTTGACTAGCCCATCTACTTACAATGGAACTACTATAGAGATACCGGGTTTCGCCGGATGGACCTCAAGTCCCCGGCTCCAAGAAGGGTGGACATCAAGGACAACTCTGAACACGACTCGGTCAAATGATAGTCCTATTACACCTATGAGCCCCACGGACGACCTCTTTCCGTCTAAAAGATTCCCTTCCCCGGTCCCCTCTTTTCATCACGATGTGATAGACTCACCATCGGCACCATTATCCCTTCCTTATCGGCCCAAAGCAGATAATGATGAACATGTGGCCACGATGCCAGAATCGACCTCGGGTCTAGGATTGCGACAGGGCACTCCAGAGAGGGAACCAACACCAACAATGCCGACACAGGCTCGTCGACTCCTGAAAAACACTGCAATTGATACCACGATTGACGACAGTTCATCAGTGGAGAGTCTTGTGACTAGTGATGAGGCTTTCACAAGTACCCCATCTTTCTCTCATGATCCAGTCGATAGCATTCTAAAGTACACGCTGAGTCAAACTCTTGGGTCGGAACATGCGCGAGGGGTTCAAACCCTCCCCAATTGTCACATTGTAGTGCGCAACTTTATGAGCGATATTACCTGGGCGCTCGAACAAGACAATTCCGCCTTCCGACAGGTGGGTGGAGTGCATCGAAACGCTACAAATGCGTCAAACTCGACAACAATTACCCGTTCGAGCCAGCACTCCTCAACCTCCTCGTCGCGCAGTGATAGAGGCAAACGGAAGGCTGGAACGCACAAGAATCTGAACGATGACGATGATGAAGATAACTCCGATGAAGATGCAGAACACGAGTCGATGCGAGGCTCTATCAAGCGGGCAAAGGTTGAAAAGCTTCGTATGATCTGTCCATACAGGAAGAAGAATCCACTTCGTTTCAATGTGAGAGACCACCGACTATGCGCACTCACTGTGTTCTACAACACATCGGAATTAAGGTAAATATCTGTCAGCCTTTTATGTCATGTCATATCTCAGAAACTGACAGGAGTTAGGAGACATATCCAAGACTTTCATAAACGATCTGTGATGCCGCCACATGCATGCGTCAGATGCCGGACGATATTCTCCTCAAACGACGAGCTCCGACAACATGTTCTGTATCTCACTGGACTGTGCCCAGTGAATGAGGTTTCAGCACAAGACTTCGACGCGGAAGATGGAATTGACGAAGATACCGCGGAGAAACTTCGAACAAAAAAGGGTAGAGTGTCAGATCCAGTGGGTGTTCAGTGGCAGAAAATATGGGAGCTTCTATTCCCCAACACTCCGGTGCAGCCGTACGGTCAGAAAGAACATATTTCAATCTAATTCAACACACAGCTAACAGAGAGATAGATTACTGTGCTGTCATGGAGCATTTCGAGCTCTATAAAAAGTATTGCGAAAGTGTTCCATCTCTCAAAACATGTCTTCGAGGGCTTGGACTCGGCGGGCCGGGTCTTGAGACACTGGGTAATATTCTAGACAATCACTTCATTGGCTTATTTGAAGAATGCAACGAGGAAGGAAAGACAAAACAATATCAGAATAGACAGCTAAAACCTCAGTCATCACTGTCCAAGCCACCGAGATCTACCCATTCATCACTACGACGCCGCGTCAATCGTGACTCGGCTTGTGAGATGGTACTGGAGGAGAACGCCGATTTGTACGAGCTGGGGGACCCAGGAAACTTGAGGCATGGCATGTCGGCACCAACCTCATCAGCAGCTTTGTCTCGCGAGCACAGTGCCAGTCACAACCCTAGTCCACAACCAAAGTCGTTTGAAGACAGGTTATCACAATTGGCTCCTTCAAAATCACTAGAACTCCCACAAACAAGTTTCATGCCGAGCAACGCTTCTATGAATCATCAAGAAGCGTTTCTAGGCATGGAAAGCGCGCCTGATTTGAGCCACCTAGGCATTCACCAATGGGGCACATATGAGTACGGAACAACGGGCGAGGGCTGGTACCCCGTCGATGCATATTGCTCTCAGTTTGATTCTGGAAATCAGGGACAAGTCATGTCTCAAGGGATGATGAATGACCAACAGGCCAGTTCAAGGATTGATGCAAGTAGTAGCCAAGCTACGCACGTCTTGCCGGACACAGGATTCGCGGGGTTTGGATACCTTCCCACACGACCCAGATAGACAAACCTAGGTGGTTGAAATTCATGAAAGTGTTCCGCAACCGTCGGGGGAAGGTAGAAATTTAAGTATATAAATTGAACAGGAAAAAGGATCTGTCAAGACGCGGCAATCTGAACGACGTACAGCGTCGCCAATTCTGATCGAGATGGCTTAGGCGCTAATTGACCTTTGCCAGGCACTATACTTCCGTACTTTCATAGGCAGTACGGATATACATCTCTCACATGTGACTACTATCGGCATCCGTATTATCCCAGGAAATAGCACTTTGGCATAAATCTTTGACAGCTAGCTGCAGAAATCGACTTGCTAGGCCTGAGTAGTGTTATTATCATCATCAATATAAAAGGGATCTTCATCATCGGGATTCTCGAATCGAAAAGCTATATTCGGAACGAGGTGCGCATGGTGTCTTTCCGCCTCCCAGGTGCTGTGACGAAGACGCACCTGGTTACCATCTGACCGCCGGGCAGTCTCCACCCGTACACCTCGCAATTCAAGCCGTCGCTTGGGATCACCTCCTCCGAAGAAGTCGACCGCGTCTTTCCCATTTGGAGACGACATTGTTACGGATGGGATAGACGACTTAGCTCTCTCAACAATGGCTGGCAAGCCTGGTTCGTTGAGAAGCCCCAAATGATAGTACAGGCGCCTATGGCGGTTGATCACGAGCCGCGTCGACTCGAGGTCTGCATTCCCGCAGGGTGTAATCGTCATCTCCGCGTCTACAATAGTCTCCGGTACGCGTGACATGGTCTCGACGGTTACCGCGCCGTCGCTATTAAGAGAAATGAGATTGACGGCGCCAGTCTCTGCAATATAATTCAGCATCGACATACTGGCAGCACCATTTTTTGATCGAAAGATAATTTCACCAGTGGATTGAGTTTTGGGCTGTGAGTTTGCCGCGAGTCTCTCGATAAGTGACCCGGCATTTTTACCAGCCGTTTGAGCGATAGTCTCCGATACTTCTTCTACATATCTGTCCGAACTCTTCCATGGGTATTCTAGTGATTTTCTTTCGTCTGAGAGGTGTCGGGTGATGTTGCCGATGTCTTTCACCAGGTCTAACGCTATCATCTGAGTAGGCGAGCGCCCGTAAAGATATCTTCCGCAGGCTGAAAATGTAGTGTCGAGTAAACCTCGATTAATGATGCTCACCACTCGATCTGGAAATATCAGTTGCGGAAAAGGAAACAAAGTGTTCAGACTGTACATACCCGGGTGGGCCATGTTCCAGAGATATGTAGCCCCCTGAGACGAGACTACTAGAAGTGGCAGAGAGGGGTGAAAACAGAAAATCCGAGCGAAGTCTTCATAGCATCTGTAGTCTATCTCTTGATTTTGGGGTAGGAAACATTCGATCGGAAGCGGGTCGGATGGCGTCAGGATCTCTCTGCAGCCGATATGACACAGTGGAACCGTTCTTAGGGCCCAATCTTTCGGGCAAAACGTTGTGTCTGGATTGGTACTTAGTCCACTGGCGGTCCTGAGAGTGAGCAAATATTCTCCATCTGCACTGAACCACGGATGATAAATTATTGCCGCCACGCGATGTGAATCTGGTGTTAGTCTTTGATACGGTGGTGCGGGACAATCAATCAGGCGTCGCCTTATGTAGGTCCGCTTTACCGAAGTTCCACGTGCGCCCACCTCGACAATATCAATGCACTCCGCTGCAGCAACAAACCTCCGGAGATTTGGAGATATGGCAGCTGGAAAGCCAAATTTGGGGCCAAGGTTGGGCCCAATGTCCCAGTCCAGCCATGTCATGCCATTATATAACAGGAGGGCCATATCCGCAGTGTCGATAGTCCATGTGTACCTCAGGATCACGGTGCGGCTGTCGAGGTTCCATATCTCATATGTAGCCCTCCACCCAGCAGCATGCGTTTCAGCGAGCCTGCTGTCGGGGAATCTTGACTGAGGAGCCTCTTTTATGGTGGTACTGAGGGCAATATAAGCTCAAACTTCTCAAAAGCTGTGAAATGCGAAAGGCTTACCGAGGTGGAAACAGGCGAAGCTGGGCTAGCTCTAACCCGTCGTGAGATACCTGAGAGGCGATGAGGATTGAATCGTGATGTTGACCCTCCACAACTGCCGTGTCTACCTTACAGTCTCTCGTTGCTACCCAGTGGTCTGACTGTGTGAAGGCGGGTATGCTGGGTTCCCATATTTCGTTCGGACTTGCTGCCAAAACACGCGACCAGGACTCACGCAGCCTCGTCAAGTCCTTTGCTAATCCTTGAAGCCTATCCGTCAAATCGCGCAATTCCTGCCAATGTTGACTCCGCACGAGAGCCTCCATCTCCAAGACACGTCCCATTTCTTCAGAAAGTCCGCACAGATCTGGTCCCGATGCTAGAAGCCACGACGCTTCGATCCAGGTCGTGACTCGCTCACGGGAGCAAAGGAATACGTCCAAATGGCTTAGGAGCTCACCGAAGAACTGTTCGGTTTCAGAGTTGGTTTGTCCAACCCCGGACTGGAGCGCCTCGCAAAAGTGTTTGGGCCACTGAGTAACCGCGTAATTCAACATTGGAAATCGGCGATTTTGAAGTTCTTGACTTGGAGAAACTTGTGGCGAGCCACTAAGAGGACCGGCATCCACATCATTGTTGATGTAGTCGAGGCAGTATATGGCGAGCTTCAAATGTCCGACGGGTTTGTGGTGGCCGAATTGGCGAGCGATGTCGCCTCTGGGACTGGCAGCCTGGAGAAGCGAGTGCGTGGCGAGACCGTTGAGATAATCAAGAACCGAGATGTGTATGTACTGGACAGTAGCATCAGGGGCTAGCTCTAGAAGAGCTCCTGACCAGGTTCCCAGCGTCTGGGCAAAGTTTGGAATTCGATCCCTTGACCCCTCAGGCAGCCTTTGGCAGACACATTGCTCGAGTTCGCGGACAGTAAGGGGACGAGATGCATAGCCTACCCACATGAACAAGGAGGAAAGTTTATCCCGGGATTTGGCTGGGAGTCGCCGTATCAGGCCTTGCAGAATCATGGTGTAGAGGTCATCGAGCTCATCAAGGTGAAGAATGTCGTCCAACGCCCGAATCCGGTCGTCGAAGGTCAGTCCATCGCACTGGAGATATCAAGAAACAGTACAACCCAGAGGAACATGCCGTTCGATCTCCCTACAGTGCGGTAGACGACGTCGTCTACTGTTCCGTCCTCTGGCATGACTCCCGAGTCGAATAGTTCAATGATGCGCCGCCGAGAGTATACTTCGATGTCTTCATGATTGTGTAGGCAAGAAAGTCGCAATTGGTTAGACGCTTGCTCGATTCGGATCGGGAGTCGAATACTCGATCGACCGAATAGGGCAAGCCTACACAGAGCTCGGTTGGGTTTCGGATCATCGGACGACGGTAGGGCCGTGTTTTGCAATATACGAAAGAAGTCCGCTTGGTTGGAGCATTCATCGATTCCGTCAATCAAGAGGATGGCGTTAGGTAGCGATCTGAGGAGCATAGCAAGCAGTGTCGAAAGCTCTTCCTGGGACGCGCTCAACTGGCCAATGTTTTCATGAAAGTATGCCACAGAGGCAATGTCGACGACTTGTTCGTCATCTCTATAGGCGTGGAGAAGCTGGGCCACAAACGCGCGCAGAGCAGCTGTGGCAGTATGCGAATCATCCTGACGTCTATTGAAGAAGTAGAACAATGTCCGCGGCGGCTGATCGAATCTCGAAGCGCCTTTCCGGGCAGATGCGTACCCGTTGCAGTGTCGAACAAGAGCGCTACATAGGAACGTTTTGCCATAACCAGGCTTTCCTATGAATAGTCAGTCACTAGGCCATCGAGGATAGCCCAGAGTCTCTCACCCTCAACGAATAGAATTCCATTTGATTCACCCTCAACCCAAGCTTCAAAGGCCGGGTCTTCGAGAATCCATTCGTCGGTTCCAGGTTCGATTTTGTTGATGCACTCTTGGTAGCGAGCAGCCCAGTTTGGCGGATCAATCCATTTCTTAAGCCTATCTAGAAGGATGACTGCGCTAGGGTCAGCATGACGATTAAACTAGCGGTCGGAAAAGAAAGCCCGCTCACGCTTCTGCTGATTTGCATGTTCGATGTGCCAGGCCTTCTTGTCCTCCGTCGGATCGTTGAAATCGGTAGCAGCGTTCTGCTCGTCAGTAGCTCGCAGCTCCTTTTCTAAATGCTTGACGCTTAGAAGTCTGTGAGTAACCTTCAGTTGTCTCATAAATTGACGTTCATGTTGACGAAACTCGGCGAGGATATCAGAGAAACGCGTGTCAAAAGGCTTCCAGCAGAGTCGTGCTAGCACGCGAACCTGTGACAAGCCTAACGACTGTTAGAACCTTAACGAATGTGAAGAGTAGGCATGAATTCCTTACCACGATCTCGCCGGAAGACTTTGCAGGCCTCGAAGCAGAACTGAATGATATCCTTGTAAACAAGAGCAAGATGCATCAACAATCTCGCGCGTGAGTCAGGACTGCTCATCTTGGATAACTGCAAGAGCTTCTCAACATATTCGCCTTCTCTGTCCAAGACTCCAAGGAAACTCGACAGTAGTTGCGTGAGCTTCTCGAAGAATGTGACATAGTTCGAACTAAGCTGCGAAAGGGCAAGTAAATCAGACAGGTCAGCCTGCCGAGAGTCTAATAAGGCTCACAAGAAAAACAACTCGGATGGCGCCCCATGCAAAGCAGGTGTACTCCGGATTGGTCTGGCAAAAGATATTGATGACTTCAAAGTAAGGCTCCAGATTCGCTGACGCCCGTCGAACGGCCTTGCAGCATTGCAATAAACGTCCCTTGGCAAGAGGACTGCTATTGCATCGGTCTTGCAGGCTATGGATCATCTCGTTGCAGCTGCTGAACGGTACAAAGAGCTTCTTGCCATCTTCCGTCAGGCTGGCAAGGAACTCATTGGATGCTCCCTCAAACACCTGCTGTGCGCTTGTGAATCTGTAAACGCAAGTGAGCGACCCTGTCTGAATATGGGATGTACGACGTACGTAGAAGGGACTTGGTCGGTCGTCATCGCATCGACAATCGCATCGCGCCAGGATACTTCAGTTAGCTATACAGTGCAACAGTAAAGAAAGGATGTGGCAGGTGTCGAAGATGTTGAGAGGCAACACTGATCATCGACCTTGGGGCTGTACTTTTGGGCGTCCTGCACAGCCACAAGCACGTGCATCATCCCAACTGCAGTCATCATTGGATGACAGAACTCTGGCCATGAGCCCAGCCTTTTCTCGTCCCTAGCGGATTCGAAATTGTTCGCCTCTACAGGATTGTCTTACTTCAAATTTCACACCGTTTGGGGATATTCGCCTGTTGTTTCTGTCCATATAGTGAAACAGGGCAGCAGTGCCTACTGCTGACCAACACCCTCTCAAGATATCACATAACACCCACACAAACGAAGCCTCCAGGGCATGAAGAACGTAATGGAATGGAAGGGGTAGTCATTCTTGTATTCCGTGTAGTAATAGCTAAGTGAGACAAGTAAAAATGAAGTAAGTAATAGTAAATAAGTCACCTGACTGCTGGCAGGGGTTACCATGCTCCCCCAACTCAATAGTAGCCCTAAATCGATCCGTCGTCTGTGAGATCCGATGTGATACTTTCCATTCACTGTGCTTAGTTATGTCCGTCCACCCGGTCTCTATCTACAGCATCCCTGGCCGTAAGTCTCTTCCAATATTAGGAGTTGTGACATGTCAAAGCCTAGGATATTGGCGGAAAGAGATTTTTTGAATAGCTTGCTAAAGTCGATATGACTCTGAAACACATTGCTAGGTTAAGGATACAATCAAAGTAGTAGGTTAATCCCAGCATTCTGCGTACCTGACGCTTAGAGAAAATGGGGTATAACAGCCCACAGGGCTTACTGCACATTGCTATATGCACAGTGAGGGCGGTCACATGAAATGCTTATTAGTGAGTTGGGGGAGCATGGTCTTACCCCTGCCAGCAGTCAGGTGA